CAATCGATTATAAATAATTTTACGGTGTTACGATTTTTCCATTCTTCCTATGAAAACAAATTTTTCTTAAAAAAGTTCTTCCTATTTGCAAACTTCAACTTATTCTATAAAACTCACGAAGTTTTCAAATATTCCCGAATGTACTTTTCTATTGGCGAAAGCAACACAATTTCATCGAATCGACGACGGTGGATACCTGATACGGTATCTCTATTTAACCACTTTAATTCGAGTACCTACTTTATCCGTTTCATATTTTTATCTAACGAAATGAGTACGGTCTATCGGTGATATCGCATAGCATCATTTTTTATTTTTCTAGCTTTTTTTCTTTTTTCTTTCCTTACGTTCTTTCTTTCTCAATGAGAATATCTAATTTACCATGCTATCAAACGATAAAAGATCATCGTGGATCTCGCGTGACGAAGAAATGAAAGTAGGGATTAGCGAGTTAACGAACGATAAATTTTTCCCCGACAGAAAAAGAAGAAAAAAAATGAGAGGGAGAGGGAGAGAGAGGGAGATATAGAGAGAGAAAGAAGAATATACTTCGATCTATCTCACAAAGGGTGTTCCGAGAGAGAGTAACAGGCACGCAAAACGCGTTCTGCCGTGTCTCAAGAGGAAAATTAGCGATCAGCTTGTCGTTCGATTAACCTTCCTCTCCGATTTCCCGGTCTCTTATCCTTTCCTTTCTCGAAACTCGCCGAATTACCACGAGACCGTCGATAACGTCAGTGCAAAAAGGAATAAAAAGAAAAAATGCGGCTGGTCAAATAAAAGACCGTTAAAGGCAACCCCCTAACCCTCCTAACCCGCCACCTCATCCCGATATCCGTAACTTTGCAATCAAGTGGACTCGTTTATTCCGCATCGTTTTCTACTTCTTCTTCTTCTATCCTTTACGAGCTTACCTTTTTTTTTCTCCCGTAAGAGTGAACGATTCGTGTCTTGAATCTCTCGCTGAGATAAATTCGAAAGAAGAAAGTTTCGAAAAACGAATCGATACAACAACTCGTTTATTACTTAATACCCAACCAACTAAAACCCTTAACTCTACGTATCTATTAAAAATCACGACACGGAGTGCAACTTGATTAATTCTTTTTTTTTCTTCTCTCGCATTTTTTCTTTCCCTTCCACCCCCATCCCCACCACCGTGCGAAATCTAGCAAAATTTCTAAGCGAAAGCGATAATTTCGAGGAACGATTCGATGAGTTACGTGAAATTTTGATAAGTATACGCGACTCGAGGAAAGTGGGTGGAAAGTTTGGATGCACGAGGGAACTTTGGATCCGGTATCGAGTGGACTTGAGGTACACTCGAGGATTAAGTGGATCGACTCGTATGAGCCTCCAGTCCGGGAAGTTACGAAGTACCCTTCGACGGTCGAAAACGGGTACTCTCGCTTATCTCTTTGCTTATTTGCTTATGACAATTTGTTTTGCGGTTCTCTTTTACCCTCTTTCTCTCTCTCTCTCTCTCTCTCTCTCTCTCTTTCTCGTTTTCTCTCTCTCATTTTAACGAGTCGATGCTATAGGTAGATAGATACGCGCTCTTTGTACCATCGCAGAGGCCGTTTCGAGATAAATTGAGCTTTCAAGGAGACCGCTTCTACGATTGCCGTATATGTGAATGGGTTTGCAGTGCTTCCACTGAGGTGAGAGAAAAACGAAAACGACCCCTTTTCTTCCCTCTTTCACCTACCATAGCAAGCATGCTACCCATCTCTACCTACCTATCTCTACCTTTTTCCTGCACATACTCGTGCACCGCTCGATATGCAAAATCGCTGAATACGGCAGTAAAATGCAGGCGGCGTGTACGCCAATATGGCGAGTAGTGCGAAATCTCCAATGTTTTATATGTATGTCTATCTTTTTCTCTATTTCTCTCTCTTTATATATATACATATGCATGCATGGGTAGGAGGGGGATGGGGGTGGGAGGAGGATGGGAGGGGTCAGACTATGTATATTTCTTTTTTCGTCATTCACTTAACGCTTAAACTTATCTACGAACGAGAAGAGAAAAGACCAGACTGATCCATTTCACGGATTTTCAGGATGCACGTCGATTCAACGGAAAACTCCAGACGAGATAAACTAATCCGTGTAAGCTCGCGAGTTTCGAAGAAACCTTACCCCGATGGAAATGTATTTCAAGTTTAATCCCATCTTCCCTTAAAACTTTGTAAGCAATTATCGTCGATGATTTTGACGTTTGATTAATAATTATAATTTATTCCCCATTGGTATTCTTCTTTCTCTATAAAAAAAAAAGAAATATAAAAAAAGAAAGCTTATCATACGGATTCTAAAAAAAAAAGACACGAAGAAAAAGGATTAAAAAAGAAGATGTTAAAATCTGTTGGTAGGTAAAGCGTAGGATTCTTTCAAAGTGAATCCAGTAAAATCGATATCGTCGAAACTCTCGAAAGCGGTCTTCCGTTTCGGCGTTTGTTTAACAGCACACTGACAGGGAGGGCAGCCGTGAAGCGTTGAATTTCCACTCGTAACCGTCGAACGATTTTCGACGATCATTCTCGTTCGATGCTTTGCGTCGATCGAAATGTCTCATTTCCTGAATCGAAACCAATTTCCGTGTCTGACTCGCGAACGTTTGAGAATAAGATCTAACGAAAACGAGATCGAGATTTGCAAACGATTCGATTCAAATTATGAACATTGTGTTATACTTGAAGAAAAGTCGACAGTTCTTCCCCTCTGCCTTTTTCCTCGCCATTCTTTTTCCACCATTTTTCTACGATCTTCCTTTATTTCTTCTTCTGTTTCTTGTCTTTCTTTTTCTTCTGCTTCTTCTTCTTCTTTTTCTTTCTTTTTTCTCTCACACTCCTTCTTACTTTGTACATTGTATCCCCTCACAACGTAACGAAGCGAATTCTTTTCCTCGTTACTTCGGATACCTCGTTACCTCGACGTGTTCAGGATGCAATAAAATTCTCCTGTGATCAGAAATTCCTTGCGTGCTTTCGAACAATGAAGCGTGATTAAATTCGAATTTCAAATATTATCAAGAACTTTTAGGATAGCGCGTAAACGTTTCAAGCTCACCCCTTTTCGTTTATTTCCACTCGATTTCTCTTTAACGCAGTGTTATTTATTGATATATAAATGAGTAATATTTTCTTTATTAATAGATATCTACGTTTTCGATAATGATATATGAATTAGCAGATAATCGTCCGATAATGTCTTGAAATAAAATTCGAGGAAATCGTTAAGAAATATTGTGCTTCTTTTTTTTTCTTTTTTATTAAAATAAACAGTAGAAATGAATTACTCTTTCTTATCGCGTAAGATCTTTCAACAGTTTTTTTTTCCTAGATATAAATATATTTTTTAATTTATCAGAAACGCGAGAGCGCTCGTGCCATAAGGCTTGATAACGAATATCGTTATCAGAAATTTTAACAACGAAATAATCTTAAAAATTATTATATTCTCTACTCTATAGACAAATTAATTTTGTTATATAGAGGATGATAAACGAAATCTATCGATCTGCATTACTTGAGCATCCAAATGCGAGACCATTGTCAACGAAATGAATAATCTATCGATAACAAATTTCGCTTAGCGATAGAAAGAGAGATAGAGAGATAGAGATAGAGAGAGAGAGAGAGCGAGAATTAACGCACGATTTGGTCGAATTTAAATTTGATCTTTATGCACGCATAGAACGAAATGCGCAGTTAATGAGGCGTAAATATTGTTCGCGATTGATTTGATCATATAAATCCGATCGTGAACTTTCGATCTTTCGTTGTGCATTTTTCTATCGTCTCGTATCTCCCGAATTTCTTTTCTTTTTTTTTTTCTTTTTTTTTTCTTTTCTTTTCTTTTCTTTTCTTTTCTTTTCTTCGTAAAAAGGCAAAAAGAAAAGTCGATATCGTGTTCCCGTCGTCGTGCCAACGGTATGTGTATGTACTTTGCCAAAAACAGGTCGATGTCTTAAGGAGCCGAGCTACGGCCAAGCGTGCGTTGGAAAAACTACGATATGGAAGGAAACGAGGGGATAACGGATGAAGTAAAAAGGGTGAAGAACGGAAATGAGAGAGAAAGAAAGAGAGAGAGAGAGAGAGAGAGAAAAAGAAAAATACCGAAAGACAGAGTAGTAAAGAGTGACGTGGAAGGAAAGAGAGTGACTGAGTAAGAGGAAGAGAGATAGATATAGATAGATAGATAGAGATAGAGAACGAGAGAGAGAGAGAGAGAGAGAGAGAGAGAGAAATAGAGCGGCGGCCCGTTCTGTGGAAGCGTCGACACACACGTTTGTACGGTGGGTTGCCCGACAATAGGCATTGTGCACCCGCCATAACCAGGAACCAAACGCGACAGCAGCACGCCAGTATTGTCCGAGTGTCAGGCAGCCTCTCCCACGCTGCCCTCTTCTCCACCCCCGCCCATCGACGTCGACACCTCTTTCTTCCGCCTCTCGTTTAACCCTCTCTCTCTCACAAGTCCACTTTTTCCTCGAATTACTATATTCTTTTTCTTTTCATTCAGACAATAGGAGCAGCCAGCCATTCGAGGAATCTTTCGTCTAACAACGTCAGAAGAATTCGAAGTTTTCTTATTGGTTATGTGTAATTGTGTTCGAATATTATCGCGACGATATCTCATTTTTCTGATATATATATATATATATGATAAGGAATATGGAACAAGCAGGATGGGAGGGTATATTAGGGACTGTTGAGTTTTGATGTTATTGATAAAAGTGAATTTATCAGTCAGGTATATAAGGTAGAGGCAGATACGTTTGTCTAAGTTCCGAGAAGACAATTGTAATTAACTAGTGTTGTTCTGAAAGTGTCTCTATTTATCAAAGATGAAAGGTGAGCACGTTACTTTAATATACAATGCGGGGTTGTGAATCATGAATAATTCAAAAGTAGACAGTTTTTAAGTTTATGAGTTTCGAGATAATAAATGTATACATTTGTGTGTTCTAATCGTGTATTTAATATTTTTAGTTATTTTCGCTATTACACTTTTGGTTTACATCGCTGTCGTTTTTACCGAGCCAGTGATCGAACCCGAGTGCCCAGAAGATGACGGTCCAAATGCCACTCTGATTAAGGATCCATATCACTGCGATTCATATTATGTTTGCGTTGAAGGCGAACCGATTTTAATGAAGTGTCCACCTGGTTTACACTTTCATGATAAATTGAAGACCTGTGATTATCCAAGAAAAGCAAAATGCAAGCCTCTTCCTCCACCTTCCTTTTAAAAAATTAGCATTGATCTCACGTATACGATTAATGCGATCGATTTAAGTATATGTCGTTCTTACGCAATTTTCAATACTTCTTTCGACGGATAACGCATTTTGTTTATTTATATAACTGTAACTCTTGATAAAAAAGAAAAAAAAAGTAGACAAAATTGTGTTATTGATAAGAATTATATTACATTTGTCTTTTATTCAACCTTTTCCTTTAAAAAACCTTTTATTCAAGACTTTTCCTTTAAAAAAAAGATCAGTAGGCATACAAAAAGAAAAGTAAAAGAATATAATCGTCTCCTATATTCATCAATACATATATTTTGTACGTAATTTCATCTCACCATAGATCTAATAGAATCGAGTAAATTTGTCGTTACAAGGAAATGAATGAGTCGCTGTTAGAACGTATTTTTCGTTTAGTGAGCTCTTACCGACTCTACCTGCTAGTTTCATGACTTTCCTTGACGGTCTCTCTTTCTCTCTCTGTATTTCTCGTAAGATTGCATTCCTTTCGTGAGGATCGTAGTTGGGAGATTCGAGGATCTTAGCTTTCAAACGAAGTCTCTTCAAAAGACTGTCCAATAAACGAGAAGGAAAGGTGAGGAGAGACGAAGTGCTCCGAGTAGCAGCTTCCAGAGCAAGCTCCGTTCGCAATGTATCTCCTTTAGTTCGTACGGTGAGTGCATCTCTGGTATATGTGTACGTTAATTCGTCTTTACGGTGCCGCAATAGGGAGAGCTATCTCTCGCAGCATCCCTTTCGTAGCATCTCTCTTGCTTGAAGGCGCAAGGGGTAGGGCTCCTGCTGTTGGAACGTTAAGGGGTATATCTTGCACCGAGAGAAGAGCCTTTCGTTGCTGACGTCGTCGCAGTTGGTACTGCTACTGCTACTGCTGCCACTGTTACTGGCCAGTTCCTTCCGTTGCTGGAGTACTTCGCTGCGGCAATTTAACGGCAACAGTTTAACGATGGCCCGTTTGTATTGTTGAACCAACACAGTGTATCGTACCAGTGCGTTTTACACGCGATCTAACTGAGTTTTACCCAACGTATATTTATATAAGTAAATGTAAGTGTGTATAGGTATATATTATACGTATGTATATAGACATATGCAGGTAACATTTTACGAAACACACAAAAATTCAACTTAATTAATCGTACTTTCAATGATAAATTTCTTTTTCAAAAATCACAAGTTAATTATTTTCAACAAAATCATAACTGAACAAAGCTTGAGTAAAAAAGAGGAAATAACTAATCTCGAACACTTCCATTCATTTTACTTGAAAACTTTTCATTTATTAGGTAGTTTCGTATATTAGAAACGATACTCACGCATTATCGTTTGTAAATGTAAAGTACACACGTATACAAGAATGGGAACGAGAGAGAAAACATGCTCGTTCAACCGATTAAAAGCCCGTCCAACGTTGTACGTTTGTATGCATGTACGTATCTATGTTGCACGATGACCATAGTAAGAATGAGTGAGTGAGTGAGTCGGTGAGTTAAAGAGAGAGAGAAAGAGGGAGTGAATGCACGCGTTATGTACACGGTCGTAGGTATTGTTGTGAGGGACGTAAAGCCCATGGCCACGTCTCATAACGTTTGAATTGGTGTACCACGCACATGTGAAGTGGCAGCTCGGTGCATTACATTTGTGGGCCAAATAGTACTCAACCGAAGCGCCCGTGACCTGCAATCTACCCGAGTTCACGACGAGATACTTCAAACGGTTACACCACGTTTACTCGTCCTCTTTTCGGTCGAGATTTTCGTAAGATCGCTGTCAAAAATTCAGTGTCGCTCCTACATATATCGATACGAAAGATTGAAAGGATTCTAGGGGATAAACATATCGATCGAGTAACCCCACCTAGATCTTTTATTTAATATTTTCTTAATGCCAAAAACACATTTTGTAGAAAATTCATGAAAATATTTCTCCCAAAAATTCTACCCGAGTTTATTTCCATACGATATCAATTTATATCATCGTGTAATATGTTTTATAATAAATATAACATATATTTAGTTGCGATAAATTTATAAAAACGTAAGTTTGTCGATAAATTAATGAATAAATCTGATGTCGCGATCGGCAGTTGTTTTATTCCGAATAAAAACAACGTATAGCCGAGGATTAGGTCCTACTCGTAGTTGGAAGGAAGGAAGAAGGATCGGACATAAAATCAGAGTAACGATATTACTTACGGGTCCGGCTTTCTCCGTTATTTATGAAAAAGTTAACCGAAGCACGGATACCCTCGGTGTTTTCGTAATAGCGAACTCGTCCTTTCGCAAAATAAAGGCAAGCGAGCGGAAAGGGATTACGAAGAAATAAAAGTTTCACTAGCGGGCATCGTTCCGTAATGCGGAAACCGGAAGACCGTGGTGTGGAACGACGTGGGGGAAGGTTGCTCGAGGACGATGTGCGAAATGGGTTGGTACGATTTTCCTTCTTTCTTATCGTTACTCGTGGATTTTTCTACAATACGTGCCGCGAACTCGCGACGAGTAACGAGTTTTGAGAACGTCTGTTGGAAACAATGTTGGCTACGCTAAGATAACTTGGAATAACACCGAGAGCTTGAGAGATCCACTCTTATCGAATCGATCGGTGACACGAGCGAAACGAAAGAAGGGGACAGTAAGAGAAGAATATCTACGAAGAAAAATAAAAGATAGAGAGATAGAGAGAGAGAGAGAGAGTGAGGGTGAGAAAAGAAACGAGAAGGATGAAGGAAGGAGCAGAAGGGTTTAAAGGAAGACTTCGAATCCCCTAAGGGATCGAGGTGTATCGTGCGCAAAGCAGGAGGATTCAAGTGAGAGAAAGAGACGAGAAGATGAAATGAGAAAGTCGAGTACGGGTGAGAATAAGATAGAAAAGGGAGTAGTAGTCGTTGGTGAAAGTGAGGAGAGAAAATATAAGAGAAAGAGAAAGAGAGAGAGAAGATCTCATCAGAGCAGCGACACTTAAATTCCCTATTTCGTTTGGCGCTCAATGCTTCGCCTGAGTTTGTCGCCTCTTCCCCGTCTACGTCTTCGACGTCGTCTACGTCCGCCGGTTAATGTCGTATTCTTGTTGTAAAAAGGAAAACGAGAGTGAAAGAAAGAGTGAGAGGAGAGAGAGAGAGAAAGGGGAAGAGAGAGGAGAAGAAACGAACAAATCGAGCCTTCTTATCGGTACGAGTCAGCTGCCGGCTGGTAGCTTCGCTTACTCGTATCCCGTATGTTCCTTTTCCTTCTGCTTCTCTTCAACCTCTTTTCTTCTTTTTTCACCACTTCTTCTTCTTCTTCTTATTTTTCTACTTCTTCTTCTTCTTCTTCTTCTTCTTCTTCTCCTACTTTCTCTTTTTATTTTTCCTTTATCCCTATCCTCTCTTTTCACACCATCCGTTTCGTACATTTTTTCAAATAGCTCGCTTTACTACTTCCTATTCCCCCTTCGTTCTTGAAACGATGAAATGTATCTATCCCGTCTTCCCAAAGAAATTATTAATGGAATCTTTTCTGTATCAAATTGGAAAAGCGATCCCCGATCGTTTTCGTTTTCACAAAGATGTGTCAAAAACGTAGCCGATGTAAAATGCGACTATCATCATCGTTTGTCGTTGTTCCAAATTTCAAGCTACGTTTTTCATTCTTTTCTTTTTTTTTCTCTTTTTTCCCAACATCACTTCGATACATTATAAATTGATGCATAAACAAAATTTATAGCTGAGATTTATTTTTCTTTTTTTTTTTTTTTTTTCTACAGGATTACCTGCATTATTTTCATTTCCTTTTTTGCTACGAGTAAAAGAAAAAGAAGCGGTATAAAACAAATATCTAATTTATGCAGGCTATTTTAGAAAGTGAATACGCTTTGTCAAAGGGTGTTCACAGCGGGTAGGAAGTTGAAGAATTAATAGGAAAACATTTTTTTGAAGGGCAAAGGGTAGACAGAAAGGAAGAAAAAAAAAGGGTAAAGAAAAGTTAAGAAGTAGAAAGAGAGGGTTGAAAGGGAGAAGGAAAAGCGATTATAAAACGCTCGGATGGCGTGCAAGAAACTCGAAGGCCTCGATTGCACGAGACACATAGGCTTTGCCTAGACTGGAGATTGCAGCTTTGTTGCGTGTCTCTTCGAGCTTGCGCATTTATAACGCGAGCAGTAATTTTTATGGGGTAACGCTTATCGCTTTCTAATCGTCACGATCACTTGTCTCTTCCTTTCCTTTCTTTCCTTTTGACGTCGTTCAACCCTTTGAAACTTCCATTCTTGTCGGTCATTGTTTGCTCTCTGCCATTTTTTTTTTCCTTCCTTTTTTTTCTCTTATCAAAAAGACTTTGCATCTCAAATTATTTCATCTTGAACGAAACTCAATTATCAATCGATAATTACAATATATAATGAATTTTATTAAATCGTGTCATTTTAGAAAAATTCTTCTGCAAATGAAAATCTATTTTAACAGTGATCACCTCTAACAGTTATCAATAATAGATCAAAGGTTTTGTTTTGTTATGTAATCATGGATTTTTAAAGAATGCATTATTTTACTTATATTAAAGAATTAATAATGTAGGTGTATTAAGAGGTATACACGTTGCAAAAAAAAGATTGTCATTTGTTTTTAGGTCTGGGCAATCCTCTCATATGCGGTAGATACGAATTTCCTAAATATTAGAAGAAGTGCACACAAAAAAGTATTGACAAAAATCATGATATTAAAATCGTCCTATTCATTTCGTCAAGGAATTCGGTAGATTGCTTAAAGAAAGATGAAAATAATCATCGAAAATAATGAAGACTATTTCGAATAATAACAGACGCATGATTACTTTATAAATAAAATATTAAATTTGTTTTAAAAAGTTATCGAATTAATTTCTACACCAAATACATTTCGATCAATGTTATTCGATAATAACTTAATGCAATTTAAAAAAGGAATGAAAGCAATTCTTTGTTCCTGGAGTTTCGAATACGCTGTCCATCTAAATTTGTCTTTCATTCTC